AGCAATGGGGGAGAAGCAGGGGGAAGAGTACCCCTCTGGGGCCAAACAGCTTCACAGAGCCCCCCTTCCCACCCCACTGAAGGGAGGGGAGGAGGAGGGAGAAGAGTTCCCCCCAGCACCAAACAGAGCCTCCCTCCCAGCCCTGTGGCAAAGGGGGAGAGGGAGGAGGGGCAAGTGTTCCCCTCTGGGGCGGGGCAGCCATGTGTGCCTGGATTGCTTCTGGCTGTCAGGAAGCCCCTGGGGTGGGCCTGCTGGGGCCTGGCCATGTCCCCCACACCAGCTCAGCTTCCCTGTGGAAGGGAGAGTTATTCTAGCATCCCTGGGCTGAGCCACTGCAGACATGTACCGAATGTCTATCCACTTGCAAACCGGTTCAGTCTCTATGGGTTAGACTAACGTGCAAAGACTGAATCAATTCAGGCTTTTTGAATGTCTGTCCCTAGCCTGGGAGAGGACTTCTTTGGATTTAAAAAGGTAGAGGCCAAGCATGGACATAGATGTGTTCTCTCTTGCTTATGACACTTAGCTAAGGGAAAACTTTGGATGTAATATTTCCCTGTGCTTGGACTACGACTAAAGAGAATCTGTGGCTATGTAGTGGCCAAGATCACACAAACCAAGAGGTTCAGGCTCCTCATACATGAACGAACATTCAGTTTCCTGCTTCTTTGACTATAAAGGATACTGTCCCTGGTTTCAGCAGGAACAATAAACATATGTACTAACCAGTGAGGGAGTGTGACAATGGTTGTCCCAGGATCTCTTTCTCATCAAGACCATCACAGTTAGGTTTTGTCTCCAAACAAATGCTTGTTTTTTGAGGATTAGAGAATTGTTCTGTCAGAAACTCCTTTAGCTCTTGGACTGAACAGGAGGGAGGAGAGACCTGGAAAAGTGCCTCTGCAGCTGTCTCTACCTCTTAATGTTGTTTCTGACTAAAGAAAACCAACTTGTCTGATGATCCAAATTTCCTTTAATGCCCCTATTTAAGAAAGTGAAGGTATAGGAAGGAAAAAAATATCTGCCAGGGAATCTATGTTTGCATAACAGTGCATAAAAAGAACAGTGAAATGCCTATAGAGGGGGTGCCAGAAAGGTAGCCACCAGAGAGCCCACACCACCACAGCAGCCCTTGTTCATAGAGCATGCATTGAAGCAGCAGCAGCCCAAGTTGCCACCACAACTGCAGCAGCCCCTGTACAAGAGGCAAGCACTCACTAAACTTCTCCCAACCCCACACCCCTGCACCAAAATTTCAAGTTATGGCTCTGTCTGTATATTATAGATAATTCAATAAATTGCAGGATGTGGTAAAATCTAGTTAATTATAAAGCACTTCTAAATCTGCAGATTACTTTCTCCTGCATAAATCTTATTGTATTATTTTTACAACAAAAAATATGACTTATTGCCTACTCTTTCCACAATTACTGCTCCTTAATGGTGTAGTGTAGCTATGTTCTACTTTAAAAGGAACCTGTGGTTAAGCAGCTATTTCACTGTAATTCAATAAAAGTTGGATGTCCTAGGTTTCCTTTAAAGGTCCAGCCTTGAGAACCAACCCAGGTAAAAGTCACATGTTGTTTATTATCCAAAATACAATGGAAAGTTAGGGAAAAAATTAACTCGTTTCTATAATGTTCAATAAAATGGCCCAGAATGAATTGACAAATGTTATGCTACCTCAAGATGAGGAGAGGAATATTTGTCCAAAGGAATCTCCTAAAACCTGAGGCCATGCCTCAAAATGTTGTGTACGCAAGATTTTTTTTTTACTTCATAGGGCTGCATCTACATATGTGCTTTACTGCAGAGTTGACTAATTAGCTTCTCAGTAAAGAGTCACTCTCTACATATGTGCTAGTATTAAAGCATGGTAAATTAATTAACTTGGCCATAAGATAGTACTGTCAGGGATAGTACTGTCTTAAGGTGGAGTAATTAAGTGCAATAAAATGCACGTGTAGATGGTGACAGGGGTTGACTGACACATGGCTCAGCACTTTAGCACTTGTGCCCCATCCAGTCCCACCATGCTCAATGCTGTCACCCGGAGCCTGGGGCTGACCCCTTGGGACTGCTGCCAGCCTGGGGCTGCTCTAGCTCAGCTCAAGCTGCTGCTGTCCCAGGCTCATGTGTAGATACTGTTCCCAGGAGCAGCTAACTTTGGCTCAAACTGCTTCCTAGTTTATTGTATCACATCAATTTTACATGTACATGCACCCAGGGACTCTCAAGTGCAGAGAACCTGCAAATACATCTTGCTTATACTCATTTTCTTACATACCACATGACAAATAAGCTCTGACCCCAGAGGGTGAACTCTACCCCCTCGCTCCCTAAGAGGGGCAGGAGGAGAAGCATGATACCCATCTTGCAGCACAGTGTCCCTGTTTCTGTTCATGCATACTTCTATTCTAGTGAAGAAAAATCAGCTTTGCAACCTAAGACATGCACCCATTTTGAAGAGCTGATTTTTGGGAAAGGGGTGCATGTGGTATATGAGTACATATGGTATTAAGATGAACTAAACTGCAGTCTTCTAACAAAAATAAAGACATCTAAGATTTTTTGACCTATGTTCAATTCTATTTCTCCTTTCTTATCAGAGGGAACTATGGATCACTAGAATTTGGAGTGCATATTGGTGTTCATTTCCACTGAGCATCCACATATTTTCATTACATACAGTACTTCTCATTGTAACAGTGCTCAAAGGTGACTATTTAGCTATAGCAGTTTCAGTTTCGTCTGTGTTCTACAACATTTACAGTTTCCCATCAAATTGTATGGGACCCCAGAAAACATTATTTTTGTAGTTTGGCTGTTTAATTCATAAAAGTTATCATTGCTTTGTGATCTCATACACAAAAAGTTATTGCAATGCTGTTTACGAGCAAATCTTCTTCAGTGGTAATCTTCTCTTCATAGCTAGTAAAGGTAGGAAAGCCGAGCTAGTTATGTGCTGCTTCTGTTTTTCCCTCTTCCCTGATTGCCTTTTTTAGCAGTTGCAGGACAGAGAATGCTAAATATTCTGATCCCCGTTCCTCACACGTGTGACCATTGAAACAATACAGCACATGTGATCTCCTCATCAGCTATGGGAGCTGGAGCCTCAAAGACAGATCAAGTTTAAGTCTTCTGCCAAGCATCTGCTTTTTCTACGTGTATCTATACATATAGAGCAACTTGGCCCTGCACAAAGAGAAACTGTACAAACTCCCAAAGCAAAATAAACTCTTTCCCAGAATGATGGGCCCATTTTACTTGTGGAAAGTTAATCCGGGAACCTTGGAAAATGACTTGGAAGGATAACATCTGAATGGATAACAAAGAACGCTTTGAGACACCCGCATACCCTTCTAACATTCTATATGAGAAAAGCTCTTCCATTAGCAACAGCGGACAAAATTTAGTGACTACAACAGGAAATATTTCAACCCATGCTCAAATTTTCTCTGGGAATAAGGCTGAGTTATCTAAAGAATTTTACAGTATGTGTTCAATGCATCTGTATCTAATCCATCCATCTTTACTTTAGCATACACATATTATAGGTGTTGAAGTATTTAGGTTAAATGCACATTTGAGTATATGTGGAGAAAAATAATTCCTCTCCCCCCAAAAATGTGTAACAAAGACCATTTGCCAAGTCTCTAATAGCCACCTTCCTGCAACTGTCTGTTGGAGTCAGCTGATCAGTAGAACCTATCTCAGAATATTTGACATTCAAACTTCAGAATAGTCTGTATTTTGGAATTTCTTCCGGTCACACACCTGCTTCCAGAAGACAAGTATCAGTTAAGGTGTATTCATTAAACAACAAACCTTTACAAAGTTAGGTCACTTCAACCAACTCATATTATTTCATTAGTCAAATCTTTGATTTCCTGCCTTATCCAGATTTGTATTCTTGGCACATAAAATACTTTCCCCTTATCTCTCTTCCTCCAGTATCTCAGACAGCTATGGGGACATTCTGTTTTCTTATTAATTCCATTGCCCAGTCCTAAACAGTTTTCAGAAAGTAAATTATAAATACAAATATAGGATTAGATCTTTCAAGACGACAGTGCAGTAGCACAGGTTTCACAGAAGTCATTCATTAAGTCTACAAAGCCTTTGTTACTATTGATAATCTTGGGGGTGAAAGAAGCAATGAAGCTTACCCAAAACCAGGTTACATTTGTAAGAAACGTCTATTTACTTATAATCTGAACGCACTGGCCTTGAAAGTAACACAAAATAACCATGCTAACCCCCAAAATCTATTTTTGTCAAGCATTCTGTATTAGTTAGAATGTTCCTGATGTTTATTTCTCATCATGCTCCTGGACCTAAATATAACTAAGGATTTCCTACAGTATCTGGTCCTGGTTTCCATTTTGCTACAATGTATTCCCCCCCAGTTTCAGTTTGCATTACTATCAGATGTCAGTGAATAACTGACTACATCCAGCAAGTTAATACAATACTAGTTTTGAATCAAGTTGCATGCAGATGTGGCATTTAAAAGTTGATTTTGTTTGATTTTTGAGTTTGCAGTTTAAATTAAACCCTGTGCTGGAATAAGCTGATGCTATAAATATTTTCTGTTTGAATTTGAGAACTAATTTTTGTCTTTAGCCTTCTGCTTTTCAAAATTAAGAAGAAAAAGGCAAAAATGCTATACCAGTCATTCATGAATCTTAGAAAATTAGGGTTGAAAGGGACTTCAGGAGGTCATCTAGTACAAAATCCCTGCTCAAAGAAGAACCATCCCCAATTATATCATCTCAGCTAAGGCTTTGTCTACCCAGGTCTTAAAAGCCTCCAAGGTTGGAGATTCTGCAACCTCTCTGGGTCACCTGTTCCAGTGTTTTACTACCCTCCTAGTCAGAAAGTTTCTCTTATTATCTAACCTAAACTTTTTTTGCTGTAACTTGAGACCACTGCTCCTTGTTCTGTCATCTGCCACTGGGCACTTGTCCACATTACACCTCTCCCGTTACCATGTTACACTTTTACTGTGTCCACATGACAAAAATCACCCTTAAGCTGGCTAAATAGTGTCTTTGTATCCATATTGTCAGCTGACTTTATCATTTTTAATTTTTTTTATCGTGATCATTTAAAACACCTCCGACATGTTTTATTTTTAGCTCCCGAATTTCTTCCAGGAGGGTTTTTTTTTTTTTTTTTATCATTTTAAATTTTCAACGTGGATCTAACTTATGCCGGAAAACATGATTTTCCCTTCTTTTCAGGTGCCGCTTGGGTTCACTCAGTAATCCACAGAAATCCATTGAATTAATTGATTGTAATATTTCAACAAGATTCCAGGGGCTAATTTTGCAAATTTTTACTGGTGATTTAGTTCAAGGTTAAGATTAATGAAAAATACAACTTTTTTGGATTCCAAAAAAAATTGGTTCCCTGTGTTCACATGTATTTCATGACAAAGATCAAATTGTTATGGGTCAGGCAGTTCAAGACTCAGGCTAATTAAAATTACATTTTGTTGAACTGGGTTTTTGGTTTTTGGTTTGGCAGGGCTGGGCGCACAGGTCACGAGTGAGGGGGGCTGGCAGGGCTGGGAGGGCAGGGGTAACCTGGGTGGTACTCAGTTGAGGTACCCCCTTTCCAATGGAAGGAATTCAGCAGGTGTTAGTGCACTAGGGGAGGGGTAGCTGCTTATGGAGAAGCAGCTCTCCTCCTACCCCCTCTTTCAAGACCAATTGGAATTCACCATATATGGGTTTAACAGGGAAAGAACAGGGTGGAATATAACATATATGCGGGGGGCAAGGGGACCCTGGGAGATAATGGTACCCCCCACTCCAGGCACCTGGAAGAGTGGGTGGGGGGGAGCCAGGGAAGCAGAGGGAAGTCAAAGGGATTTTAGGTTACATACACATATAACAGACAAACCAACAACAGACTTGAAGCACAGGGTTCACAAAATATAAGATGCAGGGTTTCCCAAAATATGAGGAGCAGATCCCACAAAATTTGAGGCATAGGCACCCCCGTGGGGCAGGATGGAAGAGGGAAGGGGACCCCGCTCCCCAGTGAGGATTCCCTTTTGCAAGTAACTCAACCCTCTGGTGCCCTGGCAGACAAAAGCTGTACTGAGCTACCAATGCCTGGGCTGCTAATTCCGGCTCCAGGCTCTAGTGCACCTGGGATCCTCCATTAGCTGTCTGCACACCAAGCTGCTCAGCTTCATGCCATAGGGAGGTCGGCAAGAACCCAAGCTGCCGCCTGCAGCTCGGGGCTTTCATCCCTCTGGGACCCACTGCATGCCGCTCCTGGGAGGTAGGGGGCTGTAGATCAGGAGTGAAGGGCACTGGCAGTGTATGGTGTGGTCTGTGCTAAACTGTTATATGTGACTGTTGCACCCAACTCTGGGGTGTATCTGAGCCCTCCGCATACACTATTATATGCAGCTGTTACATCCCAAAGCTGGGTGCATATCTGCCATTCCTATGCACTGTTATATGTGACTATTACACCCCACAGCTAGGGCTACCCCATGCCATGCCACACTGGGGGACTCCTTGGACACCCCTGACCATATGGGCTAGACCAGGAAGAATTTCCAGTTGTAATCCCAGCCCAAAAAACAGCCCAGTTTCAGGAAAACCAGAAAACTAGAAAAACCACAGAGGCATGATATAGGGTGGCCCAAGAAAGATTTCCACCTCTAATTCCAGCCCAAAAGAAATTCCTTATTTTAGCCTATATACTTAGTACAGTGGGTATAGGGGGACTGTCAGTTGGCAGCCTGGCACGCACAAACCATGCTTGGGGCTGGTCAAGACTCTGGCCAGAGCTGTCCAATAGAGTCCCCCCAGTGCCACAGAGGTATGCCGTGTGGTGGCCCAAGAATGATTTCTAGTCATACTCCCAGCCCCAAATCCAATTCCTTATTTAGGTCCATATACTTAGCACTGTGGTTGCGGTGCTGTCAGTTGGCAGCCTGGCATGGCCAATCTGTATTTTGGTCTGGGCAAGACTGGTCAGGAGTGACCAAGAGAGTCCCTCAGTGCCACACAGGCACGGTGTCAGATGGCCCAGAAAAGATTTCAGTCTGTAATCTCAGCCCAAAAGCCAGTTCCTTTTTCAAGCCCATATACTTAGTAAGGCTGTGTGAACCTTTGGTCCCTGATTTGATTCGGCAGAGATTTGGCCCAGTTCAGTGGCCGAAACTCCAAATCCGAATTGAATCAGAGGGCCCTTTAATCTCTCTGAATCAAATTGGAACCCTCCAAACTGATTTGGAGAGATTCAGAAAGGCTTGGCGATTCAGATATAGACACAGCTTTAAATGTTTTTTCTACATACCTCAAGGTAGCAGGCAGCTTGTGAATGCTATGATGCTGGCGCAGATGGAGCATCCCACAGGAGCATGGGAGGCTCCTCAGTGTGCTCGGCAACAGACCTGCAAGTGGACCTGAAGCATTTCTGGTCCACTTCTGGATCCACCGGAGAGTATGCCAGCCCCCCCCCGCTTGGCATCTGGTGCCGTCTGAGTCTGGGGTGGCACCCCGGGTCCCCCTGTGGCCGATCACTGAGCCAGGGGGATACAGAGAGGCCCCACTGTGTGCTCCTCGGTGGACCCGAAGTGGACTGGAAGTACTTCTGGCCCACTTCCGGGTTCACCGCCAAGCATGCAGGGCTCCCCTCACCACACTTCTCTGGAACGCTCCATCCACCCCAGCATCGCAGCGTTCATGAGCCGCGCTGGTATCTCGAGGTACATAGAAAAAACATTTGAAGTTGTGTCTATGGCTGAATCACAGATTCTCTGAATCAGCATTGAATCTGAAGATTCGGCCGAATCGAATCAGGGACAGTGATCTAAATCAACAAATTGAATCATTGTCCCTGATTCGGGCCGAATCCGAATCGAATACGGCCCTCTTCGCACACCCCTGATACTTAGTATAGCAGGCATGGGGAGGCTGTCAACTGGCAGCCTCGCATGAACAAATTGGGCATTGGGTCGGGCAAGCCTCTGGTCAAAGATGTCCAGGAGAGTCTTCCACTGCCACAGAGGCATGGCATGGGGTGGCCCAAGAAGGATTTCCAGCCATAAGCCCAGCCCAAAAGCGGTTCCTTATTTGAGCCCATATACTTAGTACAGTGGGCATGGGGGAGCTGTCAGTTGGCAGCCTGGCATGCACAAACTATGCTTTGGGACAGGCAGGACTGTGGCCAGGGTTCTTTGGGACAGTCCTGTGGTGGCATGGACAGGAAGTTGGGGGTGCATCCTGCACTGGCTGGCCACCAAACCATTGCCAAGCCTGGTCTTTCTCTGGTCTTTCTTACCTTCCTCCTCCTCCCTTTTTGACAGCACCTATTTTAAAGCCCAAAATGGGGTTCTATCCAAGGTATAGGTACTCTTGCTCCCTCACAGACTTCAGGGATTAATGGAGTTGCCAGCCTTGCTGGGTGACAGGGAAACTGCCCATGCCAGTGCCACCCTTTGGCACCATGCAGCCCATTGGGCTTTCCAATGGGGGTGCACACCAGGGGCTTCATGCCTCATCTGTCAGCTTTGCTGGGGTGTTGGTTTTAGGGTGACTCCACTGGTCAACCAGGCAGTTCCCTCATTGCCAGGACAGTACCCCCGGACACCGACCACAGTAGCACACCATGGTGCTGTCTCCTCATCTCTCTGGACAAAACTGTGTTGACCCAGGACTGACCCCGTTGCGCCCAGCTCTGGAATGTAACGGCCATGGATAACAGTGTATGGTGAGGTCTATAACATGATGAAATGTTATATGTGGCCATTGCACCCAGCTCTGGGGTATTTCTCAGCCCTCCCCATACACTGTTCTATGTAGCAGTTACACCCCAGAGCTGGGTGCATCTCTGCCCTCCCCAAGTACTGTTATATGTGGCCATTACACCCCAGAACTAGGGCCATCCCACACCATGCTTCTGGCACTCGGGACTCTCCTGGACACCCTTGACCATGTGGGCTTGCCCGGTAAGGATTTCCAGCTGTCATCCCAGCCCAAAAAACAGCTCCTTATTCAAGTCCATATACTTAGTATAGTGTGCATGGGGGGCTGTGAGTTGGCAGCCTGGCATAAATAAACAGTGCTTTGGGCCAGGCAAGACTCTAATCAGAGATGTCTGAGAGAATCCCCCAGTGGCACAGAGTCATGGTATGGGGGGGTCTAAGAAGGATTTTCATCTCTAATCCTAGCGCAAAAGAAGTTCCTTATTCAAGCCCATATACGTTGGGCTTGAATGGGGGGCTGTCAATCAGGCCATGCTTTGGGCCATGCAAGACTGTGGTCAGAGGTATCCAGGAGAGTCCCCTGGTAGTACACAGGCATGGTGGATGCAGGATATTAATTTACATATCATTTGGTAAATATGCATGTCTAATAAAATTCTCTTTCTTTAGAATGTGTAATTCATTAAAAAGAAGCTTTTATTGGGTATAGATTAGCTTTAAAAAGGAACCAGGAATAAGGACCTGGGACTTAAAGGAACAAACTGCAGCTTCATGAACCATAGCATAGCCTTGGTGTTGGCTGCCCTGAACCAGTGGATGGTGAGAAGGCCAGTCATTGTCAGCCAGGGGTCCCTGCCCCACACCACCAGGGGCAGTGAGTGGGGAGGGAGCTGTATGGTGCAGATGTGCTTTGACCTTCAGTAGATGCAGGCAGTTTGCAATTTGGGAAGCAAACCCTAGCATGTGGCCTGGGGTGCCCCAAAACAGTGCATGATGAGATCAGGCCACTCACTGCCAGCAGGGGGTCACCCACAGCCCCAGGCCCGGGCAGAGGGGGGGACTGGCAGGGAATTTTGCAAGTGAAATGTTCTTGGGACCTCAGAAATGTGGGTGACAGATGAACAGAGCAACTAAAGTGCATGGCTTGCCAAGTGCAAGTCACAGCTAAGCAGGCTTTTGCCAATTCTGGAAGAGAACTCTAACATGTAACATTGGATGCATGTGGTATGGATTGGGTAGCTCTGGGTAATTAATCATGGAATAGGCCTTTGACATACTGGAAGGTAATGCAGGAATGGGGATTTGTCTTTGTGAACTGCTTGCTAGGGCATAGCTTCCTCTATTCCTAATGGGGTAAGCAACAAGAAAACAATAAGATTGCTGACCCTAGTATAGTCACATCTATAGAAAACATTTTCCTAGTTATAGCATAATAATTCATTGCATGGTAAATCACATCCACCTTACTTATTTAGCCATCTTAAACTAAGAAAGAAAAATTAAACCAGGAACATTTTTAGTGACTAAATGCCGAGTACGTGTACAAGGGCCCACTAAGAACAGTCTAGCTCCATCCTCTTTGAAACTATCTTTCAGGTAGTTGAAGGCTGCTATTAAATCCCCTCTCCATGTTCTCTTCTCCAGACTAAATAAGTCCAGTTCCCTCAGCCTCTCCTCAGAAGTCATGTGCCCCAGCCCTCAAACAATTTTCACTGCCCTGTGCTGGACTCTCCCCAATTTGTCCACATCCTTTCTGTAGTGGGGGGCCCAAAACTGGATACATTATTTCAGATGTGGCCTCAACAGTGCAGAATATACAGTCCATTCATTCAACCTGGACTTCCTTAGCTTGCTTGTGAGAATGTTGTGGGAGACGGGATCAAAAGCCTTGTTAGGGTCAAGCTCGCTAACTGCTGTTCACTGCTCTCCCAGCATCTATCGAGCCTGTCACCTCATCATAGATAGATACGTGACTTGTCCTTGGTGAATCCATGCTGGCTCTTCCTAATTACCTTTTCCTCTAAGAGCTGAGAAATGGATTCCTTGAGCACCTGCTCCATGGTTTTTCCAGGGACTGAGGTGAGGCTGACTGGTCTATAGTTCCCCAGATCCTCCTTCTTCCCTTTCTTAAAGATTCACCCTTTTCCAGTCATCCGGGACTCCTTCCAATCATCACGAGCTTTCAAAGATGATGACCAATGGCTCTTCAATCACATCCACACAAATTCCCTGAGCATCCTTGGGTGCATTTTGTCTGGCCCCATGGACATGTAACTATTAGGGACTATTTTCTAAGTAGTCCCCAACCTGTTCTTTTGCCACTGCCAGTTGCTCACCTCCTCCCCAAACTGTGCTGCCAGATGCAGTAGCCTGTGAACTGACCTTGCCTGTCAAGACTGAGGTAAAGAAGGCACTGAGTGGTTCAGTCTTTTTTGCATCCTGATTTCATCCCTGCATGCCCTAGCAATACTTTCATGCTCCTTACAAGTTTCCACATCTTGTAAGCTTCCTTTTTGTGTTTTAGCTCATTAAAGGAGTTCCCATCTAAGCTAAGCTGGTCTTCTGCTAAACCATCTGCTAGTCGTCCTGCACATTGGGATGGTTTGTCCCTGTATCCTCACAAAGTTTTCTTTAAAGTACAACCAGTTTTCCTGGACTCCATTCCCACTCAAACTGGCCTCCCAGGGGATCTGGCCTATCAGTTCCCTGAGTGAGTGGAAGTCTACTTTTCTGAAGTCTTGGGGCCCTGCCTCTGCTGCTCTCTTTCCTTCCTTTCCTCAGGATCCTGCACTCAATCATCTCATGGCCACTGCTGCCCACGTTGCCATCCACTTCTATATTTCCCACAAATTCGTCCTTTCGTGAGCAGCAGGTCAAGAAGAGCACAGCCCCTAGTTGGTCTCCTCAACGCTTGCACCAAGAAAGAATAGTTACTCTAGCTTCTAATTCTTTACTCAGCTGATATTTTGAATATAATGTTTTCTGATATTAGAAATACTACAGTGTACATGTATATATTGAGTTATATTGTATGGCTTTTGCAGGGTTGCCAACTCAAGAAATTTTTCTTACTGACAATCTGAAACTTTCTACTGACAAACTTTTTTTCTGACACATTTTTATTAATCTGCTTTATATCATGTAAATGCAACTTTTCTGCCAGACCCTATCCTGCTGCCAAGCCCCAATTAGAAGAGCTGGGTTCAAATATAGGGGTTTACACCATCCACAGTAAAAAAAAAGGTACAAAGTTTAGTTGTTAGTAAAAAGTTTGCATTTTTTTTAAATTCAGTTGGCAGCCCTGTTTGATTGCAGCAGTGGTTTTACACTCCAGTGTCCCCCCAAGGGGTCCCCTACTCACCCCCACACCCTGATGCCCCCAATCACACCCTGCACCATGCTGCACCCCTCACCTGGCCACCACAAAGCCTTACCCCTGCCAGTCCCACTTCCCCCCCTACACACACACACACACACACACCTCTACCCCCATTCCAGCATAGGCCTTCTAAAGAACAGTCACTGTCTGCCTACCTGTCACCCAGCAGTGTTCCAGGCAGACACAGCAGCAGCACCACCACATGGCTGGAGGTTGGGGAAGGAGCTATGGAAAATCCTGTTAACCACAAAGCCCTGATAAGAGTTCCCTTCAGGGTGCTGTACTCCTGCTCGGCCACCAGATGGCACTGCTATGAATCATATGCTGTCTGTGCTTCAACACGGCACCCTGCTTTTTTCTGACCATGGAATTTCAGTTAGCTCTGACTGCTTAGTGTTTTTATGGGTGACTCATTTTAACGGACATTACAGATGTGTGTTGGTAACCTGAATTTTTGCTGACTGTCCATACATTTATGGACAGTTGGCAACCCTGGGTTTTTTATACTATGCAACTATGCTGGGTTCTGTCTATATCAGTGGTGTTTCACTTTTTGGCTCTGTGGGTCAGAGGAGTGACACAGGACTGGTCCATGGGCTAGATTGAGCCCTACCAGCCAGCTCCACTCCCTCCATGCACCACTCCCAAGAATTGGGGTCTGGGGCCTGGTGCCACCCCTTCCAGCCCCTGTGTGCAAGTTTTTGGGCTGCAAAGGCCTTGCACCACCCCTTCCCTGCCCCCTACACCAGGATTTGGGTACTGCCTGGGACCTGGCACCACTCCACCTAGCCTTGCACACCACACTGGGACTGGGTGCCTTTTCCAGCATGCAGAACCTGGGTTCCCTGTGGGTCTGGTTAGTTGGCAGAAGGGGAACAGTGGCACCACTCCCCTGCCACCAAAGTTCCAGGCCAATAGGGAGCCCTGAGGGTTGGATGATATGGTGCTGCAGGTCGGATATGGCCTGTGGGACAGGGGTTGAATACCCCTGGTCTAAATAAGTAGAAAATAACACTTTAAACTAAACTATCCAATAGGCAATTTAAGAAATAAATCACTATAAAATTTCTCCCTGCACTGATCTTTCTATGTGGAAATAATGCATGCAGGACCAAACTGGACAACTGTCATAGCTAGTACTATTCTGCTCTCACTAGAAATGGCCCTATACTATTATATTTATTCTGACACTGCTGATCATGCCCTGTTTGAAATCAGATGTCAAACATGATTGCAACCAAGGATTTCACAATAATTCAAAAGCTTAGGCAAGCAGTAAACATCATTGTGATATACATCAATGTTTCAGATCAGGCAGGCAGTCCCTCAAAAAAATATGATTCGCTATTTCCAGGACACAAGATAGGAGAATGAGAATGGATAAAATAGAAACCATATGACCCTCTGCACTGCAGATGAAGGACATTTCAAATGCTTTCCATTCATCACTGAAAAAAACAGAATAAAGGAAATATGTGGAGGAGAGTGATTAATGTGTTAATTTACTTATGAACAGTCATAAAATAATCTCCTTATGATTATATAGGCAAATATGTGTCGTATTTGGCACAATCTGCCACTGAACAGATCGTAACCAACTTGGATATGTTCCTTTTTTTAATTGGGTGGTATAAAGGGTGGCTTATAAAATGAATACAGATTATCAAACAAAAGCTAGCCTAAAAAGGAGGCATAACAACCAGGGTTTGTGCCTGGTACAGTAGCAGTGGCAGGGCTGGCAATAAGAGCTGAGCTAGTGACGGTGACAGGGCCAACATCCACAACAGCTGTAGCTCCTGTGACCTCTCTAAGTGGGTGCCTGAGGCTGGTGCCTTGGTGTTTCACTCCTTATTATGCTACTGCAATGGGAGCAGATAGGGGTTTGGTAAGGGAGCATGGAGCCATGTATTGTTAGGTCACCTGTTGAAATCCTTCCTGTGATTGACCTACTAACAGTGGTTTAGTAGCAAGCACAACATGAGCTACCAATAATAGGATAGTTTTTAGTGGATTAATTCTCCATTCCAGCATCAGAGCTGGCCCTTCTGTCATAACGTTAATAGAGTAGAAATATAAATAAATATGGAGATTGAACTGCCTTTGGAGTTGTAAAAGCAAGACAATCAGCAGCACAGGACTGAAACCAATTGCCAGGCCATCATGGAAGATGAGTCATTTCAAACATATCTAAAATATTAGCATTATCACAAGAGGGCTATGACTTGTATAATGCAGTCAGAGTATGTGGCTTAGTTTGACTTACTGTGCCTTCTAAGCAGTAAAAAGTTAATTATGCTTGCTCAACAGACACTATCCTGACTCAGTAAAATTCATGTTGATATTAGAGCACTGACCGCAGAGAATCCTGACCAGAGAATTCTAAATGTCTTTTCTAATATCCCTTTAAATCAGTGATTCTCAACCAAGTTGCCATAAGATCCTTTTAAAGGTGCCACACAATATTAGCACTGTGAGGTGTGAAACTTCCTACATGCGATTCATAAGATAAACCCAGAGATTTTGAGTAGGAATCCATAATGTCAAAAACTTTCTGACCTGTTGTGGTTTGAGTTCCTTACCATGAGAATTTCTTTATCATTTTTCTGTAGTTAAAAGATGGTGAAAGCTAAGGGCTGGCATATTCTGAAAGGTTTCTTGAGCCCAAAAAAGGTTAAGAATCACAGCTTTATAGTTAGCAGTTGGAGTCTACCAAGTATTCCCAGAAACCCCGCATAGCTCTTTCTCAGTTCTGTTGAAATCAAATCCCATGTATCAAGTAACCATTTGTTGGGGGAATGTGTCCTTTTTCTATTAAATTTTTCCCCGTGTATTCATTTGGTATTCATTTTTCCTTTTTATAATTTAGGCTCGTCCAAAGGGAGAAGGCCTGACTCCATACCAGGGCAAGAAACGCTGCTTTGGTGAATACAAATGCCCCAAATGCAAGAGAAAATGGATGAGTGGAAACTCCTGGGCTAACATGGGACAAGAATGTATCAAGTGTCACATCAATGTTTATCCTCACAAACAGGTAGGGTAGCTGCAGAGATAAAGAAATCAAGAGAATTCTGGTCTGACTTGTAAGTGGGAAGGCGCCCAAAGTGTGATTCTGCATTAGAGAGCAAAGAAAAGCTTGGTCAGTTGCAAGATTTAATTTTGAATGAACACCAACAACAAGCAATTTCTATTTCTATATCTATAACAGCAGTTCCCAAACTCTGACAGATTGCACACCACCAATTTAAAACAATACAACCTTAAGTACCACTAGCAAATTTTTGGCATATAAAATAATTATAATAAATCTGTTACCACGTACCACTGACAGGTTGTCTGAATACCACTGATGGTACGCATACCACAGATTAGGAACTGCTGATCTGTGGATTTGTTGCACAAGTATAAGCAAACATCAGGATGTTTCCACAGTCATTTTGTATATAACAAGGCTCTGTGCTGAGTCTCTAGGCAACTTGCCTGTGATATCCTCTGAATTGGGTGTATAATTCTTCAATGAAGGTTT